GCTGCTTGCTGCTGGCGCCAGCTGTGCGACACTCTCAGCCGAGCTCTGAGCCGCTCCTCGCCCCGTGTCGTAGGCCATTCGACGGCTCATGCGCTAGGTTCGCCCATGGCAGCGTGCGGCTTGCCGCGCGTCGCTGCCGTCTTGCTCGCGGCAGCACCAGCTCTGTCGCGCCCGCTGCCGCCGCCCTCGGCCAACACGGTCGCGCCGGGTCTACCCGGTGTCCCTCTCGCCGTCGCCAGCGCGCGCAGAACCGGAACCGCCGACGAAACCGCCTATAGGTGTGCTACGCGCCGAGGCACCGTCGGGCCGGCCACCAGCCGTCGCCGCCACCACACTCGCTGCCCTCGGCTCCGCCGCCCTTGTGCGAGCTGCATCGCTGACATATTAAGCTACGTGTGAGTCACTCTCCGCCCTCGGCGCGACTAGTCAGCAGTAGCGAGTGTGTGCGTCGCTGCTAGAGCCGGCCGAGGCAGTCCCGAGGGCTCCTCGCAGCGACTCGAGCGGGTCCGAATTCACTCGGCGACCGGTAAACTAGCGACGGTGTCACTTTTCAAAGACGTACGTAACACGCGGACCGCCTCCCCCACCGTGCGATTGCCTTCAGTGGCCGCCAGACGTCCGGACCGCTCGCTTCTTGTGTGCAGCAGGGATTGCTGGCGAATGCCGCAAGTGGCTTTGGTGCTCGCGAGCACCCTCGCATACCCTTTCTTCGGCCTAGGGCCAAGCCTCCGGTCCCGTGCCGCCCACATGTTGCCCGACTTGGATGCCTGAGGCACGGCTGTGGCCGGTAGTGCACGAAAAACGAGAAAACAGGCATTTTCGATTTCGCCGACTTTGCCCATTAACCCTCCTACGCAGATACGACAAAATACGTCTGCTCATGGCGCCGAGCCCTGGTCTGGACACCAGATCGGCCCCCCCGCCCCTAACATTAGCCTCCCAGCCGCTCTGTCGGCCATAATGTTAGGGGCGGGGGGGCCAAAATCACGCAAAACCATCTGCGTAGGATGACAGAGACTGTGCCGCGATTGTGGCCGGGCTAAGGCGGCCAGCGGGCCAGCTCGTGACCGCTGTGAGCGGTCTGTGCAAGTGGAGCTCCGCAGTTTGGGGCTGGCTTGACTCACGGCGGCCAAGCATCGATCGGCGGCAGTGCCCGATCACTGTTTGTAACGCACCCATCGCCACTCCAGTCTATATATATGTTCTGAACTTGGCGCATTAATGGGCAAAGTCGGCGAAATCGAAAATGCCTGTTTTCTCGTTTTTCGTGCACTACCGGCCACAGCCGTGCCTCAGGCATCCAAGTCGGGCAACATGTGGGCGGCACGGGACCGGAGGCTTGGCCCTAGGCCGAAGAAAGGGTATGCGAGGGTGCTCGCGAGCACCAAAGCCACTTGCGGCATTCGCCAGCAATCCCTGCTGCACACAAGAAGCGAGCGGTCCGGACGTCTGGCGGCCACTGAAGGCAATCGCACGGTGGGGGAGGCGGTCCGCGTGTTACGTACGTCTTTGAAAAGTGACACCGTCGCTAGTTTACCGGTCGCCGAGTGAATTCGGACCCGCTCGTGGCGTGGCCCCGCGCCTCCGCTCGCCGGTGGCCCGAGCTGCAAAGCGGGACAAAAGCGGTGTCTCCGTCCGCGAGACCCGTCCTGAGGGCAGGAAGAGGAGGGACGCTGGTGAGCAAGCTGAGTGCCTGTGACTACCGGGATTCTCTCATGCCTATTGATGCGGGGTATCGCGAAAGATGAGGGCGAGGTGGAAAATGTTCACTGTACCCCATTTGCGTACCTCCGCACAGAGACGCAAAACAGCGCCGAGCACGAGCCTCGCGTCACTGCGGAGGCGCCGCCGCACTTGTTCGGCCTTGACGGCCATGCCGCCTGCGTTTGGCGCGGGGATCAGCCGTGCAGTGGAGCGGCCGTTGTGTAGGGCGGGTTGAGCTGTGGGAGTGGGGAGCAGCATCTGCCATTAGTTATGGGGCAGCGGTTACCGGGTTGAAGGCAAAGGAGAGAGAGAGCGGGAGCGAGTCTGCGAGCATGACGGCTGCATCGGTGCGGAACACCACCGTCTGCCCCGTGCGGTTGAAATTTGAGCTGATTGAACGGCCACATGGCACCCGGCGGCCGCCGCGCAGCCGGCCGGTATCTCTGGGCGCGCTCAGGTCGGTGTGAGCACCGCCGGTCACGAGCTGCCACCGGTTCTGGAGGCTGTCGTCGAAGATGACCAGCAGCGGCAGCACCGCCGCTGCGGATGTCGTGGCACCGGCCGCGAGCCCCGTCGCCACGAGCATTGGTGGCAAAGGTCGATGGAGGCGTCAACCCCCGGCCCGGGGGGGGCCGTGCGGCGGGCACTTTCCTGAAGAAATAAACGGGGGCCACCCTGTCCAGAGGCGGAGGTGCCTTTCTGGGATCTTGCTAAATGGGACGTCAATTTCTTTTTTAGTAAAAAAGAATTCTTGCAGGCGAAGCCTCTCAAAGCGCGCATCGGCACCCGCCGTTGATAGACCTCGCGCTCATGCCTGCCTGGGCCCTCCGCCTATGGCCTCTCGCCGGCGGCAAGCGCGGCTCGTGCCGGACCCCGGGTGGAAACTATGGATCGTATGATGAGGTTTGGAGCGTGAAGGAGGCAGAGTGCCAGGCGCTGTGTGCAAAGTGGCTCGAGTGCGTCGCGATTGACTTTCAGCTATCGAGCGGGCCTTACACTCGCTGCAGGCTCCACAAGGAGGAAATCAGCCACGTCGTCCCGAATGGCCTCGATACCTGTCGCCTCCGGTGCGTACACACAGCGGCAGAGAATTCACGATTGCCCGCTACACATCTCCACGTCTGACGCATGTGTATACCGCACGTGTAGGCCCGGTCACGTCGCATCCTTTCGCGGCTTCACCAAGAGCAGCGGTGCGGCGATCCCCGCACCACCAATCCCACAGCCGCCGCCCGAGCCGTCGCCGCCGCCACTGCCACCCTTGCCGCCGCCGCCTCCCTCCCCGCCAGAACCGCAGCCTCCGCCGCCTCCGCCGCCCCGGCTGCCATCGCCGCCCTCCATTCCGCCGCCCGCTCCACCGGGCCCGCCGCCCTTGCCACCGCCGAATCCCTGCCTGCTCCACGTCGCCGGACCGGGCAGCAACCTGGCGGGGCCTTGCGCTGCAAGCGCCGGCGCAGGTCACCTGCGCCGAGCCAATTTCCGCGGGCTGGATCTCCAAGCCTCGGCCTTTGACGGCGTGGACCTGAGCGGAGCGACGCTGGACGGCGCTGACCTCTCCGTCGCGACGCTGACCGACGCGAAGCTGGCTGGCGCCTCCTTGCGGCGCGCGCGGCTCCGGAAGGCGAATCTGGCGAGGGCGGACCTCTCCGGCGCCGACCTGAGCGGGGCGGACTTGGCCGGCGCGGACCTGACGTCGGCGGTGCTGAGCGGCGCCTCCTTCCGCGGCGCGAGGCTGGTGGGCGCGGTCGTCAAGTTTGTGACGTCGGGCGAACGCTCTGTCTTCGACGGCGCAGACCTCCGCCGCGCCCAGGTCACGGACTGCAGCTTTCCCAACTCTTCGTGGGCGGGCGCCGACCTGCGCGCCGCCGCCATGGAGGACATGCGGCTGCACGGCGCTCTGGTCAGCGAGGCGCGCCTCGACTCGTCGTCGCGGCTGATCGACGTGCGCCTCCGCGACGCGACGATCCGTCACACGTCCTTCGCCGGCGTCAACCTGCAGGGGCCCTGCGACCTCTCCAACGCCTCGATGGTGAACGTCTCTTTTCGCGGCGCGAACATGCCCGAGGCGCGGCTGGCGCGCGCGGACGCGCGCGGCGTCGACTTCTCCGAGGCGCAGCTGGTGCTCGCCGACTTCAGCGGGGCGTCACTGCAGGGCGCCGTGTTCCGAGGAGCCGAGGTGACTGACGCGAGGTTCACGAGCGCCCAGCTGGACGCAACTGACTTTCGAGGCGCGCTGGGGAAGGACAAGGCCTCGTGGAAAGGCGCGAGCGGCCTCCCCTTCGGGGTGGACTTGCGCGTCGTCCAGAACCAGCCCGGCTGAAGAGGGGGGGGGGGGGGCCTAGCCGCCAAAAAACACAAGAAAGAAAGAAAACAGGCACTCCCAAGGGAGGGATGGGAGGACGGCACGCCGCCACCACACAGGGATTTTAAACGAGGCTGGCGCGTTTTCTTGTTTAGGGATTGACTCGGGCGATTCGTCGACTGGATCGAGGTCACAGGTTTGGCTTGCCACGAACTGCACGCACTGCGCCGATGCTCCTTCTCCTCTCCTCGGCCACCGGCGCGACGGCTGATACCCGGTGCGTCGACGAAGGCCCGTGGCCTTGCTCGGTCGACGGCTGTCCATCCGAGACCGTTGGCTGCTCGTCCCTCGCTGAGCTCGACCTCTGCTCGAGTCAGTTCGCCAAGATTTGAAACCCGCCGCCATTCTGCCTCTCGGGCACGGTCCATGGCCGCTGCCCTCGCGCCTGTGGCCGGTGCGGCGTCGATCCGCCCGCCGAGTGCAACATGGCGGTGATAGACGGCACGGCACTCGGCGAGGAGGCGCTGGCGGCGGCGCTCGTGGCGGCGGAGGAGCCGGTTGTGATCCGTCCTGTCCCTCACTCATGGGCGGCGCCTCCGCTGGAGCGCCTTGTGCGGGACCACGGTGAGTTGCCGCTGAGCGTGACGCTGAGCGGCGGCCGCTTCATCGGCGACGAAGCAGAGAGCGCGCCCTCCTCCCTCGGCCGGTACTCTCTCGAGCTGGCGAGCGGGCAGCTGCCGGCCGACGCGTACGTGTTCGACGAGCTGGGCGGCGTAGATCTCTCGTCCGGAGAGTTCGCGCTCGGAGGCACTGGACTCGTGCCCGCGTGCACCGCCGCCCCCGAACAGCCCTCTCGACTTTCCACCGAGCCTTCCTGCAGGCACGGGGGTCGCGCCCGCCGCCCGCGATCTCTCGGCGGACGTGCCGTCGCTCAGCTTCTTCAGGACGGTCCTTGCGCGCCACAGCGAGGAGCGGCCGAGCACTGCCGGCCGGCTCCTCCTCTCGGCGGGCGGCTGGGCGAACGGACGCCCCTTCCACGCGCATGGGCCGGCGCTCTTCGCGCTGCTCGGAGGCGCCAAGCGCTGGCTCGTGCGGCGGCCGAACGCCAGCTTCGCGTGGCAGTCGCTCGAGGCGCCGCGGGAGAGCCTGTCGGGCGCATCGCTGCCGGACGGCTGGGAGCCGCACGTGTGGCAGTGCACGCAGCGCGAGGGGGAGCTCCTGTGGGTACCGGACCAGCAGCACCACGCGACCCTCAACTACGCCGCGGACACAGTCGGCGTCACGATGGTCATTGACGAGACGGAGCCCTTCACGCCGCTGCACGCCGCTGCGCAGAGCGGAGCCGCGGCGGCGGTGGCGCGGCTCCTCCGAGACGGCGCAGAGGTGGACGCTGTGGCGGTGGCGAGCGGCGCGACGCCACTTCACTTCGCCGCCGGGCTCGGCCACTGCGACGCTCTCGAGGCCCTCTTCGGGAGGTGGTGGCGCCGCCGGGCTCGCGACGTGGGTGCGATGAGTGCGAGACGCGATTGCAATAGGCGCTGCTGGGTGGCGGCGCCACCGTCGACGCGGTGGCGAGCGGAGGCAACACGCCGCTCCACGTGGCGGCGGCCGGCGGGCACGCGCGCGCCGTGCGGATGCTGGTGCAGAGCGGGGCCGACCTTGAGGCGCGCGACGCGCACGGTCACACGGCTCACGGACTGGCGGTGAGGCTCGGGCAGGAGGAGGCTGCAGCGGTGCTGGAGCGGGCGGCGGTGTTGTAGTTGTAGTTGTAGAGCGGAAAAAAGGCTAAGCTCAGAAAAAAATGGAGATTGACTTTATTTATTTATTTATCGTACTTTACGGGGTGTGGAGCGAGGGTGGGAGTTAGCCAGGGGTTGTGCGCTGGGCCCTCTCCTGCTCGGCTCCAGCGAGTAGACAAGTGTTGTCATCAACAGAGTTAGAGGGTCCACAGCGTCCTAATCTAAAATCTGAGGATTCAGGATTGAGGCATCGATTCAGTGAGGCCAAAGTGAGTTTATGGATGTTGAGAACGGTACGGGACACGAGGAGTCACGCGGACCGACTCGTCGGTGACTCTGCTGCACGCCGTTTCAGAATTTTTCTCAGCGTGAGCGAGACGTGGAAGAGTGCCACCGTCGGGTAGGACGGGTCGGCCCGGAGTATCAGAGTAGCCGTCGTGGTCGCGGCGAGCAGCGCCGGCCACTCCGGCGCCGCGTCGGCAACATGGGAGCATGTCCACCGCCACTTCGCGGTCGCAGCGCTGT